AACACACAGGGGAAAACATTCTAGAAAAGTGGTAGAAAGTGACAGTGAGTCTTGGTGTGCACAATTGCAGGAAGTCCTGCCATTCCAGAACTCTGAAGGAAGCCACTTGAGAGTGTGTAAAGTGATAGAAAAAGAAGGTGGCCATAAGAAAATTCACACTGCTGCCTTTCTGACAGATTGATGGTTTGCAGCCCCAGGAATTTATTATTATAAACCTCTTGATATAAATTAGGGAAATCATGGTAACGAATAGGATGAAGATATCTTGAGGTAAGACATACCCACTGTAGTCTCACCAGGATGGAACTCTTGCTCCAGGATGAGCATTCTAGGCCAGTCCCACCTCAGCCAAGAGTAGGACTGGGCCAAAGCCCAGAAGGGCGCTCTTGCTTTGTGGCAAGTGGAAGGAGGCAAGAAGTACCCAGGGAGCTTCCACAGAACTTAAGAGCAGAGTCAAGACTCTCATTCCCGGCATTCTTGTTATTTAAGTTCCCATCTACTCAGTAAATGCCAGTTTTATTTCTTTCATTTTCCCATACATTTATAACTGGCAGGAGGAGAGTTTTGGTGTCCTGACAGGTTTTCAGCAGTCATGGGACAGTTGCTGAATAAGATCACATGGCATGGATCTAGCCTGGACAGTTATCTTTATGGCCCCATGGTAACTGCACCAAGTGGATATAGTCTGCCTGCGTACTGTTCAGAGGTTTGAACATGATAGTCTCCAAGTTGTAGTGCAACATTGCACTCCTGGAATGGCAACTGAAAGCTATTACAGTGTATCTGCAGTTTTTCCTTAGGATACATACCACTCACTAGTGGGTGCAGTCCCATTACTGCAAGTTGTTATATGAGGTTCTGAGATCCTGGGTGATGGTTATTGCAGCTTAGTCTTTGTGTCTTCTCAAACCCTGCCTGTAATGGGGCAGAGCTGTAATACCACATGGGTCATTGCTGGATTCCTGTAGCTGGTAGAGGAGGGGTGAGAGGAGGAGTTAACACAGAGGAAACCTGGACTCTTTGTCTGTCATGGGTACGTTGTGGTGCTGATTATGGTTTCAGAAACATGAACATGCAGTCATGCACCAAGTGGGACTTCTCAACCAACCACAGGCCATGTTTATGAGGGTGACCCCATGAAATTTTAGTGCAGCTGAAATGTTCTCATTGCCCAGTGGTGTTTCTTGGGGGTCTTAATTCTGTAAGCAGTGCAGTGTACATGTGTGTGAGTGAAGTGATGCTGGTATGAACAAACCTGTGCTGCCAGTCTTCTGGAAGGGCATGTCAGTTATGAACATGCTTAGTGCTTGGTAATGATAATGCATGACTGTGTTAATCATTGAGATATTCCTGTACTGTATTTTTTGTTGTTACTTGAGATTGTATTCCTACTTGTTGAAAAGAGAGAGAGAGAGAGAGAGAGAGAGAGAGAGAGAGTGTATTTATTGTAAACGAGTATGTGGTGTTACTCTAGCAGCAAGCTCATACGGATTTGTGCTCACCACATCCTTTGTTTGCATCAAGAGGCCATATCAAGTAACCTGTGCCATCTGGGTTTGCATTGGTATACCCAGCAACATTGCCCAGTGGTGCATTTCTCAGAAGGTACTCCTGTTGTTCAGTGATGTGTGGCTCTATGTCACATGTTAACAGATTTAAACATGAGGATCATTGTGTAGCAATAGACTTCCATAATACTGTTTGTTTATTTATGACAAAGGTCGTTCATACATATACAAAAGAGAAATCAGACTGCCAGATAAAAGCAGTAGTCTACACACAGCATTTAACACAGAATGAGCTACCAGTTATCCCTGTAAGAGCCCAAAGAATAGACCACCTGCAGCCACGGGGCCTGGTAGGATTCTCATTCTGCATTCTATGTCCTTGAGAATCGGGGTGCTTGATGCAGAAGAAGGGAGATGCAGCTGGAAGCGATAAGGGGTCATGAGAAACCCCACAGCATTGACTTTGGATTGGCGAGATCAGTGTGAACGCAGGATGTACTTTGTGCAACACACAAATACGCGCGCGCGCGCACACACACACACACACACACACACACACACTTTTCTCTCTTGCTTTTGTTCACTGAAAAGACCTAGAAATGATGTTCAACCTAGTAGTATTCTGCAGTACCAGACTGTGAAGGAGACTGTCAAAATCTAATAGATTGATATCATCAGGACTAAGGCAAGAACCTAAAGAGGTACCCAATGGACAATGTGGGGCAATTTGAGATTCTGTAATGATAATAATGAGCACATTGTATTGAAACATCAGTACTGTAGCTCATCCATGTGCTTCCCCCATGGAACACTAGCTGAGGGTGGCAGAGTACCAACTCCTTGTCTTAGAATGTCGAGGGTGAAGAACCATGAGCCAGTCCTTACTTAAGAAGCTGTTCTATTAGGTGACCAACCTAATACACTGGGTAGAAGCTTCTCTGCTTGAGTTTCACTCCACCTAGACATGAAAAGGCTGTCTTGCCCTGCACCCTATAGTATAACAGTGGGTCTGTGCATCGAGCATGAGTGGCTGTAGGACCATTGTAGAGTGGACACTGCCCCTTGCACCTCTGGTGTGGGACCGTGGATGTGCATTCAGTGCAGTGCAGACCTAGACCTTCAGCAGAGGAAATAACAGGGAAGGAGATCTGCAGGTGAAGAGAGAATTTGGTGACATACCAGAATGGCAAGCCCGTGCAAGTAGGTGGTGGACTCTTCAGTGCAGCCAGCAGCAGCAGGTGCCCCTGGCATCTTCCAGAAGGAGGGAAGGACAGAGATAGGCATGGGGCATGTAATGCTTGTTGTAATTTGATTTTTCAATTATGTAAAGCATGTATCCTTTCCAAGTGAACAGTATCAAGAAAGATGTAGTCGGGTCTGGCTTCTCTTCCTGTCCATTCTTTTCCATACAGGTATAATGCACTTGTGCATACCCACAGCTGTGTACCTACACAAACAAAGCACAGACATACACAGATACACATGCATCTAGACAGTTACACACAGATGTGTTCAAATGAAGGGATACATGTACACTCAGACACATGCACGGATACAAATACACAGTACAAATGTACATGGATGCACACACTTAAAGCTCAAACACAGATATTCACACACTTATACATACATTTATTCTCCTTTCTCCTTCCTTTCTCTTACTGTGAGTTAGTGTTCTGTACATAATGTTCTCTTACTTCCTTCATGTCAGCATGTGTCCTAGAAGTCATTTGATAACAGTATGTAGGGGTCTTTCTTTCTTTTCCTTTCTTTTCCCTTGTGCTCTCCTTTATTCAGCTAGTTCTCTTTTTGCCCCCAACCTTTTGTTTTTGTAAACAGTATTGCAGTGAATAGTTCTGAGAGTTTGTCATTTTGTGCTTTTCATGTTCTCTCTTCAGGGTACATTCTGAGAAATGGGATGATATAACGCAGTCTTGGAGGGTCAGTGGAATTTTGTAACTTGATATTTTTCTGTATTAAAAATCAAATAGCAGTGCTGGGGCAGTAGCTCAGTGGCACAGCATTTCTTTACATGCTTGAGAGAGTTCAATCCTCAGCACCACATATAAATAAGTAAAATAATAATAATAATAATAATAATAGTCCATTGACAGCTAAAAGAATATATTAAAAAATCAGATATGTTTATGAGTGTCCAGTAGCACATTAGCTGTGCTGTTATTATTGAATATATGTTCTGTGGTGGTAAATGTAACATTTTTTTAGCAAGGTAATATCATGCACTCTTGGAAATTTTTGTGTGTCTCATTTTTTTGTCACTCTCAAAAGACATTAAAGGTAGAACTGACCCCTGTAGTCTCTATAGTAGTTAATGTTAAACCTTAAAATGCAGAAACGCCAAATAGAAATCAGGTGATCAAAAACATTGAATGAGCTTGGCATGGTGGTACACGATTATAATCTCAGAAGCTTGGGATGCTGAGATGGGAGGATTGTGAGTTCAAAGGCAGCCTCAGCAACTTAGTGAGGCCTAAGTAACCCAGTGATTCCCTGTCTCTAAATAAAATATTAAAATAACACACACAAAAAAACCCCCCAAAAACCAACAACATTGAATGGCTGTATCTTTTCAGAGACTTGATCTGTCAGTCACATCATGTCAAAATGAAGGCCTTTGAAGTTTTTTGTTCTCAGGATGTATCTCTTCTGCCTGGATCTGTGCACTTTACCTCAGGAATAACCTTCTGTAGTACATTTTGAGAGTTGTGACTTTTCTTCTCTACTTCCAAGGTTCATGTTTCATTCGAACGGACCAGCTGGATGGCGAGACAGACTGGAAGCTGAAGGTGGCTGTGAGCTGCACTCAAAGGCTGCCGGCCTTGGGGGTGAGAACCATCAAGATGTGTGCAAATAAAGGGATACATGTACAGTTTTGTCTTCAGTGGGAATGTCTAGGGAGTAAGGACCTTTCTGTTCATGCCATATAAGTTATATACACTATGAAAATACATTGAGAACTTGTTTTGTTGTTTTCTTATTCCTAACCAAAATATTTCCTGAGGTTTATAAGCATATAACCTGTTTTATATTGTTGGGTATTTTTTTTTTTTTTGGCTTCACACTTTAGACTTTTATTTTTCTTTTTCTACTTTTTTACATTCTCATTAAATAATCTCAAAGTTGAAGACTTTGGTGGGACATAGAAGGTCCATTGTTGCTAGCTAGCTTACTCCCTAATAGCTACTCAAGGTACTACTTTGAGAGACTGGGACTCAACCCTGGTTTAATCAGCATTTGAGCCCAGTCTGTCTTTCTAATGAAGCATGGAGAACCTCTCTGATAGAAGGAAGTGAGTTTTGCAGTGTCTCTTGAGCCAGGGAAAGGAGAAAGGCTCCAGCTTGAGTCCACCAAGTGTTTGTATGTCACTTTAGAAGGTAGAGGTTGGGTCAGAGAGCAAGGTCATGGATGGTGTTTATTTCCAGTGATCTCTAAAACAGCTCTTACAAATGTCAAGAATCTTCTAAACTGTGGGTGCTTCGGCAGCACATATACTAAAATTGGAACAATACAGAGAAGATTAGCATGGCTCCTGCACAGGATGATAGGCAAATTCGTGAAGTGTCCCATATTTAAAAAAAAAAAAAGAAAAAAAAAAGAATCTTCTATACTGGCATACATATATTGTTTTTTTCCTCCATTCTTGAAAAAACCCTAGTTGTGGTCATTTGATGTTTGTTTTCTTTTAGCTTGTATCTAGTATTGATCTGAGTGAGAGTAGCTTTGTCTTACGTGATTCGATGATTCCATGGAGAGTAAAGCAGATTGAGATTGTCTAGGGTGACCTTTGACCACACAGTTGTTTCAGCTGTGGAAAGAAGGTTAGGTACTGCTGATTCCGTCACTGCCCTTTGTTTAGTTGCATCAGGATGGGAGTACCTACTGCTTATGCTGCAAATGGTTTGCAGCTGCTGTGGACAGCAGGAGCCACCGAATCTCTCTCTGCTGCACTTTCTGGAAACTAGAAAGTGGCACATGTGGGGCTGGGATGCCATGCTTCTTCCATCTACAGTGTTTATTTCAGGTAGTCCCTACATTAGAAGTCATTTCTCTGTGTTCTCTGGCTTTTTCAGAACCAGTGGGCCCCAACAAGCTTCTTATTCCTTTGTGTATTCTTCATCACATGAGAATGTGTTGTCCAGAGTCACCATCACCATCTCCTCTTTCTTTCTCTTTTGACAACTTAAAAATACCACATATGCTTGCCTCTACTGCCATACAGAGTGAATCCAGGCTAGATTTGGAACACAGATTGTAGTTTTCTCACCCTGAGGTTTTTAGCTGACCAGCCTCCTCTAGCACCCTTCCATGGAGCCAGGGAAGCAACTTCTACTTTATTTATTTTAAAATATATTGACACTAAAAGAGGGCATCCAAGTAGCAAATCTTATGTGGAGAGCATCCAAATAGCTGGTCAGATAGCAAGAATTATGGGATAAAATGTTCCACAATTTCAGGCTTCTGGTTTTTCTAAACTGTTGGAGAAGAGTTGTACCAAAACACTCAGTAACTAGTGACAGATGGATTACCAGACATTATCTTTTAAAATATTTAACATAAGCATAAAAGAAAAAAATTTCATTTTGACAGAACGTTGACCAGCTCATTGTTTAAATCTATACTTCTTGGAAGTCTAATAGACTGGAATTTTCCATCACATCCTTCCTGTATTTCTCATTTGGTTATTTGTCCCTTACCTTTGCCATTTCATGTTGGTGCTTGCCAACATGCAATGTACATGTACGTTCATGTATATTGTAATCCTCCAAATCAGTAAAACCAGATATATGGAAGTGTGTGTCCTCCCTTTAATTTTCCCAATTTTAAACATATAGAAATATGTCTCTTATTTTGTCTCTGTATATCTTGTAGTCCCACTCATTCCCCAGTTTGGAAGTTTATTTTGAAAACTGCCTGAATTTCTGCTCTGGATCAGGATTTCTCCATTAAAGCCAATAGCATACCAGCTAGATGATTTGTTGTAGTCTGTTAATTCTCAGTGCTCTGTGATGGCTTCTTTACATTCTGTAGGATATATCAGGTATTAATCTCTGTGTTCTGAGTTGTCACAGCTCTTCTTTTCTATGATTGATGATGACAGAAGGAAGATTCTCCTAGACCAGTGGATGAAGAGATTATAGGAGTCAGATTTGCTATCATTGCCCCCATCAACCGGTTGACTCTCGTATCTTCCCAGTGGTCGGGGACAGTAGGACAGCTCCCATGTCTTGAAGTCACAAGTATAGCATTGAGGCACTTTCCCACCCAAAGGGTTTTGGGGGAAGGTACACAAGCAGCTTCTGCATTTCAGAGTAATTGCCCAGCTGTTTTTCATGATGGCAGTACCATTCACTGTCTCCATTAGGAGTGGAAGAGTGGTCCAGCATCTGTCTTCAGCAACATTAGTGTTGTCACCATTTTGATCTTATTATTCATGACTTTGTGTGGTGAGGTCTCTGCCATTTTAGTCCCATTTCCCTCATGACTTGTTTTGTGAGCTTTGCCTCACATGCTGTTTGGTATCTGTGTATCCTCTTTGGTGTAGTGTCTGCCCACTTAGAAAGTATTGTCTAGGTGGTTGTGCAATGGAGATCTTTAACTTTGGCGTTCCAGTCTATATAGCAGCCATCTGTTTCTTCACTTGCAGTATCACATTTGACCTGAGTCAGTGTTGGAGAAAAGTGCAGAGACCATTTATTGTGTTCCATCTCATCTTGGGGGACATATTCAGCCCTTGTGTGTAGAGATAATTGTCCTGGTTCATAGATACCTTGATCAGGTTGAGGAAGTTCTTCCTAGTCTCATTTGCTGAGAGGTTTTCCATGAGTAGGTACGGGATTTTTCAAAGGCTTTTCTGTATCTATTGAGGTGAGCATGTGGTTTTTCACCATTATTAATAATAATTTTGTGGACCAGTTTTTACGCTTGTTACACTACCAGCAGAATGGGACGAATACTGTTTTGTCTTGCTGAGAGTCCTTTATACATATTGCAGCATTTGACATTTTGTTAAGGATTTTTTATGTCTATGTTCAGGAAGGATATTGCTCAGGATTGTTTTTGTTTAATGTCTTTAGTTTGATATCTAGGCGTATGCTGGCTTCATAAAACAATTTAGAGAGTCATTTTGCGTCTCGTATGTTTTAAGTGGTTGATGTAAGATTGGTGTTATTTCTTTTTTTATATGTTGAACAAATTCACCTTTGAAACCATTTGATCCAAGAGTTTACATTTTGGGAAACTCTTTAATTATGAAGTGAATTTTGTTTATGGATTTGGAACTAATCAGATTTTTCAGCAGCTTATAATACTTAATTTCTTTGTGTATTGTCAATTTCTCTGTCGTTTCTGGTTTTGTTTCTGTTTTTAAAACTTTCTTCTTGGAATAGGTCACACTTTTCTGTGTTTTTTTTTGCATGTCTGATAAATTTTAATTGGGTGCTGGATATTATAAAATTTTTAGGGATTTTTTTCCTCCTTCAGAGATCTTAATTTTTAATCTTTTTTTTTTTTTTTTTTTACTTTAGCAACTTGTAGATGGGCTTTCTCTTTTCAAGTCTTGTTCTTAAACTTCTTTAGGATGGACCAGAGTCCCTTTACTGTGATGTTTCATTTGCTGAGAGGTTTACCATGAGTAGATACTGGATTTTTTATCCTGCTCCCAAGGTGCAGTCCTTCTGGGATCCTCCTAGGACCTACTGAATTGCAAGCCCCTCTTGACTCTCAGTCTCTCCCCAGCTCTGTTGCCCTGGGATGATGCAGTTTGGAGTTCTCTGTTAATGCTTGGTGAGGCCAGATGTAATCCCACCCTGTGTGTGTTCATGTTGACAATTGGTAGCAGGTTTCTGCAACTTTGTTTGCCTGGCTTCTTCCCAGTACCTGCAAATGCCAGCACAGTTTACGTAGGTCTGGTCTCCAGAGCTCAAGGTGCCTGTCTCCCCTGCCTAGCTGTTACTCTCACCCTGAGGGGTGTAATCACCCCAGTATAGGAATGGGCTGCTGTGGGATGCATGGCTGTGTTTGTTTCTTGAGGTCATTGTGTCCAGTGTCTGAAAGTGACTTTTCTAGTTGTTTTCAGTGGGAAGGCAAGTCTCACACCAGTTAATTCAATATTGCTTATAGAAGAAGTCCTTGATTATTTTTTAATGAGAACTAAGTGCCTGTGGACTATACAAGCTACATGGCATTTCTGTTAACTAAATTTAAAGCAAATAGGTATTGGTTTCTTGAGGATTGGCTTGTCAGTAGGGATACATCTGCCTGGAGGACTAAACATGCCGACCAGGTAGCCTGTCTCTGGGAGAGGACTTGGTATGTACTCTCTGTTTACCTCAGAAGCTCCTCAGTCCTTAGGATGCATTCCTTCAAAAAAGAATAGAAGTTTATTTATTTTTACTGACTCTAATAGTAAAATGTGCATTAAAAATAATGCATTAGTCATAAAATGGAAGAAGCCCTCAGCATTTGCCTGTAGCATCGGTTGCCCTTTGCACACATTCTTCCTGGAAGGATGCTCCCTCCTCACCACACAGCTACACACCTGTGCCCCAGCTGCTGTTTGTAGGTAGGGTGTTTTCAAGTCTCTTTCATGTAAGGTTTTATATGTTTTACAAGATTTTATTTAAACCGTATAAAAGTTCAGCATGTTTATATAATATAACCTGCCAGTATTTTAAAATGGTTATTGCCTTTGATTTTATGCTTAGACTATTTCCACTCATTGTTGTATTTCAAATGATTACTTTTTAAGTGATTTCTATTTTTCATACAGAATTTCTAATCCAACAGACATTTATTTTGGGACCAGATATAAGTGAGAATTCATACTTTTTTAAGAAAACAGAAACCCCCTCAGTCGGCTGCAATAGTAGTATTCATTGAACAACTGTTGTTTTTTCCCATCAATTTACCATTGCTCTCAGATGGTTCTGCAGTGTTTGACTGTAATCATCAAGTTTGAACGTGCCTGTGCTTTCTACATACCGTGGCCCTAGTACATGCTACAGGTGGAGCATCCCCATCTGCTTCTTAACTGCTAGCTTATATTAGCTTTTGCCTATAAAAGTGTTGTTTTTAGTTGGGACAATGTTGGTATGTTTTCCTCTATGTTTTCAGGTTTGGTGTTGTGCCCAGAAGGCTACCAGTACCCATTTGTCATCTTAACTGCCTTGTACATCTCTCCATAGGTAAAGGCTAAAAGTGAGAGGCTGGTCATTAGCTTTCATAGTAACACAGTTTCTGAAGTGCTCCCTGCAGTTCTACAGGGTGTGCAGGCACCCCTGAGAAGGAAATTGCATTGTGCCACTCAGTTTGTGCTGCCCAGTGAGCACTCTGGCCAGTGTAAGCCTTCCTTACGGTCAGTCCACTTTCCCCTCTGCAGTCATGCCTTTCTCCACCAGAGTTTCCTTTGCCCATGGCTCCCATCCTGGCTTTTGCTCACCAGTATCCTGCTTCCCAGTAGCTTCCATTTGCTTTTCATTTTTTTAATGTGGCAAAATAAAGCTGCACCACTATCTTAGTCTTAAGATATCTGGTTGGTTATTCTCTCAATATTTGTTAAAATTAATTAATTTATT